TCAAGTTTAAGTGATCGCGCTCAAAACATTGCTTTCTTCAACTGCAAAAGAGACCCCTTACATTCTAAATGGAAGTGTACGGTGCAGATCTGATACTGAGCTCTGCTGAAAAATAACGAGAAGATTAAAAACTCCCCTCCTCCAAGTGATGCCTTAAATAAGCAAATAAATAGATAAATAAATAGATAAAGGGTTGCTTTAGCAAAATACATGTTCCTCTTCGCAACTCTGTCTCGACCCTCTTAAGATGTCCCCTTCTGAGGATATTATCTGTTAGCTGGGCAGGGCCTTTATGCAAACGTAGGAAGTAGTAAAAAATACAAAGCATTCAGTCTAGACAGCCCACTACCGAGTCACTGCAAATTGAACTGGATAGCAGATGGTATCTGACCGTGGAACAGCAAGAATCTGCACATTGAAAATGTCTGAGAAAGGCCTGGACTACAGCAAGACCAAAAAGAGGAACATCAGGCCACGACAGAGGTTAGTACCATGGGGCAGATAAGGTTTTAGATAAGCTTCGCAGACTCAAAACTAGAACTGCACATATCTGAAGTGTTTCCACTGAAAACTTAAGCTCCTTTCTATTTCTCACTGCTTGCTGGATTTCTGCAATAGTGAAACAGGAAAAAAACCTCATCTACTAACAAACTTCCTGGCCTCTGTTTGGTTTTGCTAATACAAGGCTGGAGCTCTAGGGGCTACCTGCTTATTCACAGAAGTTTAATAACACCATTAAAAAATGCAAATATTCTCATTATGTAGTTTGCAGAAAAAAAAAATAGTTTAGGTGTTTTGTTGGCAGGAAGAGATGTCTATAATCTATTATTCCCATAGGATAGCATGGGAAAGCTCCAGGCAACTTCCCCAAAACCAGAAACAAATCTACTGCATTATGATAGTAGAACAAAACCTCTGAAGCTGGAAAATATTCTGAAAGATACATTCATACTGCTACACAGACACAGCGAATAACTCAACTGCAAACCTTAAACGCTTTCACAGTGCATTTGACATTAGAATTTAATATTTTTTTAAAACTGGCAATTTATCACAATGTCAGCAGGAAGTTGTAGGCATGGGGTTTTCAGGTTAGTCACAATGCAAATCCTGAATAAATCCAGCTACAAAGCCAGTCATGAACAGACTAAAAACTCATTAGCTTAAACAAAGAACCAAAACTGCTGCAAATTATCCTGACAAATATCTAAGAAATTGTATTTTTTTCTTCATAGCCTCTTATTAAAAACCCAGGACCTTAACTTAGCTAACAGAAGCTGTTGCAAATCTCCTATCTTTCAAATGCTGCTTTGTTTATTAAAGCTTTCATTAGCAGCTTTTTTTTTTTTTTTTTTTTTTTTTCCCTGAAATAATAAGTATTACAAAGCTGGCCTCAGTGTCACCAAGCAGATATGGAGAACAGAGATTTCAGTGAGGTCTGCAAACTACACATCACCGGCTTGGTTCATTTCCTCAAAACAAAATGAAAACCAGAGGCCAAGTGCCTTCACAAAAGTTACACTGCATAGTAACAAATCAAAACTCAATAAAATACCACCCTTCTCATTAAGTACAGTTAACTGTAAGGCATTTAATATTTACCCCCCTTTTTCTGACTAAAAACAATTAACCAACTATTCTTCAAAACACAGGCAACCCCCTGGTAAAATTAAAAAAAAAAAAAAAAAAAAAATGCAGTTTTGTATTTGGAACTCTTTACATTCTTAATGCTGAAACATCAAAACTCTTCATGTGATACTACTGATAATGACAAGTGGTAACTCAGTAGTTATTTATCTGGAATGTTCATACATTAAGAAATTTTTTTTTAAATTGGAAAAAAAGAAAAAAAAAGCCATTTTTTCACTCTGATCCTCAAATTCAGCACAACAAAAAAAATGAACACTTTAATCCAAAGAACACTGACATAGGACTACAAAAATTTAATATAAAATGTAATTAAGGAACAGGCTTTCAGACACTGATGTTTCTGAGAAAGAACACAGAGGTTTATACTGAGTACTACTGCTTCAAGTACACAAAGCCTCTAGAGACAAAACATGTTGCTGAGTATGTATTTATTTTGTTGGTCTGAATCTCCCGATTGTTACAATCTAGTTCTATAACCTCTGAAAAATCAGCATATTCCTTATTCTGCATTGTAACCTAAGAGGAAACATCACCTAGCAACGGAGAAATTAAGTTCTTTTCATTTGTTTCCAAGGGTAGTTAACAAAATTAATAGCGTGAGTAGGAAAGCATAATTTTTTATTTAGTCCCAGCAGCAAATAGAAGTTCTTTATTCTCACATACGCTTGGATACGAAACAGATGTTGAGAAAATTAAGCTAGGTGGTTTGGATGATTGGGGTCAAAGATAAACTCCTACCGCTGGGAGAGAGACAAACCGTTTCAGCATTCACGGCACATCCGTGTGCCGCTGCTGCCTTCGGGGGCGACAGCCCATATATTTCAACCCAATTCCGAGGCTATTTCCATTTAAACGGTCTGTATCTCCCATTTTCCTCATCAGCAGGTCAGACAGATACATACTTCTTCCGTTAAACCTACCGCACTTTTTAATCAATGTTTCTCAACAACTGAAGCTTAAGCATCTGTGCAGAAAGTCTGGATTGGTGGGGCTGCCTGCGCGTAAGGGCACGGAAAAAATACTGGGAGGGAGGGAGGGAGGGAGGGAGGGAGGGAGGGAGGGAGGGAGGGAGGGAGGGAGGGAGGGAGGGAGGGAGGGAGGGAGGGAGGGAGGGAGGGAGGGAGGGAGGGAAAACCGCTCTGTCATCTCAGACCAAAGCTAGACTGGCACAGGCACAAGAAAGACACTGTCTGCAAATACCAGGTCCATTGAGACCCATGAAAAAAGGAGGCCAGACTTTTCAGAGGAAGTTATGTATTTTTTTAAAGATGATTTCAAAAACCTCAGGCCCCTCCACATCTCTAATGAAGCACCTGATATTCTTAAGTAAATGGAAATCGAACCACTTCCCATAGCAGGAAGGGTGAAAAGGGGAAAGGAGGGAGGGACAGAAGCTAAACCTGAAATAACAAGGTCATTTTAAATTATTTTATTACAAACTCACTGAAATATGTCACAGGACAAGAAAAAAGCCCTGTGTTTGTTTTTGTGTCAGCGTCGCAGGGGACAGCTATCTGGGCAGGGGTCACAGACTGCCTAGGAGAACTGCAATTCCTCCTATTTAAAGGAATTCCTTCTATTTAAGTGAATTAAACTGGTTTTAATAGTTAAGTTGAAGGTACAGGTGACTCTACTAAAGCATGTTAATATTTTTCAAAATACGATGGAAGAAAAATAAACGTTCACTAATGAGATAGAAAAGTATAGTCACCTTTCTCATTCACAAAGGACTGTGGTTGACACGTCACTCCAAAATTTTTTCACACAAAACAGTCATATTCTGCATTTTTAATGTTACCACTTCTGAAGCAACTGCACTGCTAGAAGATACGAGTGATTTATACTGTTAATATCTGCTTCTTTTGAATTTTGACCATTTTATTCTTTTGACTTCTGTAAGGGAAACTGTCTTAGAATAACTGTACTTTGAAATATAAAACCCTCAGTCTTCTAAATCTGATGGCTACTGTCTCTGCGGAATACATAAAGGAATACATACACCTAAATTCTTGCAATATTGTTACAACTTATTCAGTAAGCCAGTATTTTGCCTAAATATAAATGGTTTAACATTTTATGAAGTCAAACAATGCAGATGCCATCAGAACATACTTTTTTAGTTAAAAATACTTGTTAGATGACTGAATTAAGTCATCTAACAAGACCTGGTAAAACAGAGCTCATCTAGACTTTGTGAATATGAACAGAAGCATAATTAAGGAAATGATCTAACATACAAACTTCAATCACATTGCAATCACTTGCAGTGCTATGTTTTAAATTTAAGATAAACAAAATAACAACAGTGCTTAGCTTCTTACATATTCTTATCTTGTGACTGCTTGGGTGCCTAAGAAAAAATTCTAAATTCATTTTTCCTGCAGTTGGCATCCTTAGCTAACCGTTACCGTGCAGAGCCCCTGGTTCACACTGCAGCCTTTCACAGGTCTTTTGAGATCTCTCCACCCTCAGTTGTTTGAAATCAGTCAATGGTCAAAATTTACTGGGTAAGGCGAACAGCCCATCAGCACGACTGTTTAAAGCCCATTTATTTAGCAAATATAAAGAAAACAAATACAGTATTCTGCCACTCAGATGTTGAGAAGAATAGGAAGGAACAACCAGTTCTGAAAGTCGGACTTTGCAGAGCTCTTGTATTCTGTGGATTAGAACCCATAGAATTTTGACTCTCAAACTGCTGCAGTTATCTTCTCCAGGGATTATGTTCTTACTATTCCTCCTCTTCCCCTATTGGATAGGGGAAAATTCCACCAAAACAGGTGGAATGGCCCTTCACCTCTCTCAGTTTCCAGTCCCAAGCATGGATTTGAACAGCCATCATTTCTCAATTGTGTGAAGCATGTGTGTAATTCCTTTCAGGATGGGAGGAAAATACTGCAGCTGGCCAGACAATTAGCAGGACATTATCAACAGTTTTTGTAACATACTTTTGCATTTTATTTATTTCATTTTTGAGACAGCACAGCTTGAACAGTATGTCTTGCCTGTGGCACGAAAATCCTTTAGAAAATAAACACAATTTATATTCTCAATAAAGGACTAGGAAACAGAAGGGAAGGTGTTTCCCCCTTCCACTCAATAACACGTAGTAGATGGATTCACCGTGACATAAAGCAAACCCTTGCTTTCTACCAAAAGATAATAAATTGACCCTGTGCACACACTTCTGTCAACAGCTGTAGCTGCAACTATAACCTTAGGAGATATGTAACTAGAGTAGATACAAAAACTTACTATACACAGATTTTCATGAATGAATTTCTCCAAAGCAAAATTTTATTTTCTTCTGCTTATTACAGATAACAATTTTAATCCAACTCAAGACTTACATGCATTGAAGAAACTGCTGTGTCTGCTTTGCTCGACTCTCACAGTCCAGGGGGCAGAGATGGAACACCGTGTCTGGAAAGCCCATGCCAGGCTGGAATAAGAACAGCAACTCCCCTTCACTGGCAAAGAAGCAAACCCTGAAAACAAAGACAGAAAGGTGTTTATCTATGGGACACTTTCTTCTTTAAAACAGCCATTTCCTGCAAATATTTCCTGCAAATATACACATCAGATGAAAAAATGGTAGTATTTACTCATACAGCTTAACTCCCAAGGGCAATTGGGCTTGAACCTTTTGTCTTGAAGTGCAAAGCAAGTTGCAGAAAGTTGGGGTTGAAATATTGCAATGGAAAATGTCGCAAAGAGAAGGCGGCTAGAAGGCTTCTAACAGATTGCTGAGAGATTGAGAATGCACCCTCAAAAAGTAGAAATATTGTCCTAGCGGCAAAACATGCAATAATGTTCCAGGACACAATCTGAAGTGATAAATAAAATATTATGTGTGCTATGAAAACCAAATCTGAAATCAGATTTGTCCAATGTCTACACACACCCCTATCTCCAGAAAGATTACGTCAGTGTAGCGTGGTGTTGCATTTTCTGCCAGGTGGCTCGGTTAATGCAGCAAAGTTGCTATTCTCTTAGCCAAAGGGAGCATGTTGTAACTGCTAAGGCTCAGGCGCTTCCCTACAACAATGAAAGCAAGCTATACTTTCATTTATTGACCAGCACAGAGAGGTGGTTCTTCAAAAGGAAGGAATCCGTATTTTTCCCACTTACACAATCAATCCAAACTGTACCTATCCAACAAATTAAGAAGGGCTACGCTGCCTTGAAATCAATTATTCAACACGCTATTCAGAAAATGACAACGTTTAAAAATCTACTTCTTCCTAAACTACATTTAAATTCAATCTTTTCCGCTAGATTTTAAAAGCGGAAAATAAGTATGACTTCTGTAATGTTCTGTTACCATCCAGTATCAATAACGCAACAATCTATTTTTTGAAGTCAGGTCAATAGCTCCCATCTAGGCAAGTTAGTTGTTAACTGGGGTAATAGAGCAGGAAATTCTAAAAAATTCCTTTCAAGGTAGTTTTAGAATGTAAATTTATCTTCATTGATTCCTATGAAAAGTTAAAATTGACAATAAAAGTCCATTATGAAAATTCTGGGAAAAATTACCGATTTTCACAAAATAAAAAGCAACCTAGAAACAAAAAGGCAAAAAATAGAAGCTTCTTAAATATCCTGTAAAATTCACAGAGAATGCAGAACGTATCACTGAGTCATAGTATGAGGCGCATACAAACAATATGCTAGTCACTACTCAAACCACTTTCTTTCACTTCAGATACTGAACCAGCAATTACTCCTAATATGAACTACACAGATAATGTTAATAACTCGATAAACACACACAGTTTTTGAGCTGTTTTGTGCTTTTCATATATATTTAATGACAAACTGTTAATCTACAAGATTAAATTAACAGTTCATCTGAGAATAATTTTCACAAAAATTACATGAGGTATTAATCTATTCCTTGGAATGGCATGCAATTAAAGTTGCTTTTTAAAAAATAACATCACGTATCTACAACTAATATAAAATTACGCTGTGCGGCAGTATTCACAGTTTCCCTTGTTGCACCTCTTAGTTGTCTACAGCTGGAAATTGCTTCGAAGGAATTTGTAAAATCCAATCCCGTCTTCTTCATGCACTTGCAAATTTTGTCATACCTCAAACACAAGTGGTACATTTTTCCCCACTTCACATAATTCCTGTTGGACTATACATGCTCTTTTCACATACAGGAGCACAGCTACTGGTAATTTCCTTGAATAAGCTTCTTTTAAGACGCAGACTTAATAACTCCCTACTTTTTAACATATTTTTTGAGAAAAATAAGAAAAAAAAAATATCTGGACATTCATGAACAGATACATTAGTTCAGGTCAGCGGCCTAAATAGCTCAGTATTCAGTCTCCAGTAAGCACTATGAACAGTTGCCTGGGGAAGAGTAGAAAATGAGCAAATACATAAGAGTAGAAAGTGAGCAAATACATACAATACTGTCCTCCTTTGTATCTTTGTCTCTGATTACTTTCAGCACAGGTGATTTCCTCAGAACCGTGTAGACATCTGGCATCCACAACACCGCTCGGTAAGAGTTCCACACACCTACTACTCACCACAGAACAAACCAGAAGCTTTTTATTATTATTATTTTCTGCCTGTCTTTTATTAGCTCCACGGCCTAGTTATCAGATTGGAAGAGAAAGTCAATACCTATCCACTCCACACGTGATCTAGCAGATTTCTCTCATACTTCCCCAGGAAGCCTACTCCAGGTTGGGAAGCCCCGGCCTGCTCGGCTGTTGCTACGCTATTTCTGGTGCCCCTTCTTCCTTCTGTACCAGTCTTCTCCAGTTGTGATTTACTCTTCTGGATATGAAGGTATTTAGAACTTCATCACTTTCTATTTATCTACACTGTAATTAATTCACCATTTTATTGCCCATTCACTCAATCTCCAGTAACTCTCCAGTCAGTCGTTCTTTGCTACTTTAAATAACTTAGTACCACCGTCCGAGTGAATTACCTTGCTGCTCAACCCCTTTTCCAGTGAGTTTATAAGCATGTTAACAACTCCAGATGTTTATGGAAACCCACTGGTGATCTCCCGCTGACAGAAGGGCTCCCACACTCTTCCCTACCTGTCACCAAATTATTTAAACACACTCCTCCTATATTCCCTATCTGCTGAACTTCTTAGAAGTCTGTGGTGAGGAACTCTGAACAAAGCTATTTGGGTATCATGCATGCAGTGCATTAACTGGACCACTATTATCCTACTGAGTCTCTCAGCAAACCCAACAAACACACCCAAGCTCTAAGATATTTGTAAGGTTGCATTTTCCATTACTAAAGGCGTGCATAATCTCCTTACTGATATTGATTCCGCAAGCTTTTCTTGAAAGATTGGTGCCACATTTACCACCTTCCACTCTTCAGGTACCAAAGCAATTTCAAAGGGGAGGTTACACACTCTTACTAGTAATTCATCTTTTTCATCCCGGTGTTCTCTTAGAATTATTTCGTGAATAGTTTCCAATCCTGGTAATGATCACCCCATAAATCTGTCCCATAACCTCCTTCACAATTATTTTAATTTCAGAAATATCTGCTAACTCTCACCACCATCCCCACCAAGGGGTACCATATGGAAATCTGTCTCTTTTTCCAGTGAATAATAATGCAAAGAATTAATTTAGCTTCCCTGCCTTGCCATCTCCAAGTGCTCCTCTTACATCCCATTTGTTAAGCTGGCTCTACAGACATTCAGTCTGAGTTATCTACTCAAGCAACATTTTATTAGCTAAAATGAGATAAATAACTGGTCAACATTTAGAACGTGAGGAACAACACTAATTGTCTGGACCAGGCTCAAATTGTACATTAAAACATTACAGTGAGAAAGTTCAAACTGGTCGTCTGCAAAAGGTGATGGTTTCTTTCACAGTTCTGCAATACAAAGGCTTATTCTAAATTCTCTGCCTAAGAAACAACACAGTTATTTGGAAAACAAAACATAGGAGTATTAGACAGTTTATTAATTATCACAAATATCTGCAATGCAATTTCCTTTTGGTTGTTTGTTTTACTCCTACTTTCATCAGCAAAAAAAAAAAAGTTCTACCTCCTAAATACCATCTCCTGAAATTATGATGGAAATCTGAAAAAAACTCTATAAAGAGGCAACAAAGTCAGGGCAAAATGACAACGGCAAAAAGAATCAAGAGACAGATGAATAACTGCTGCAGAAATAAAATTCTGACAGAATGGCTGGGACACAGGAGGAAAAGTGAAATGTCAGAAAAAGAAGCAGCCAAATAAACACTAGTGTGAAATAAAAAGGTCTGAAGACCTTCAAGAGATCGAGTCTGGTGATCCAAAGTTATTTTAAAGAAATACTACAATATCCAACTATGACAATTCATAACAGAAGGTGTTAAAGCCCAGGGTGAGATTCTGGCTTCACCGAAACCAGTGACAAATCTCCTATTTTCTTTAAGGATTCAATCTTTTTTTTTAAAGTGAGAGCAACTTAGACTTTTAAGACTGGTAGCAAGAAAATACCAATTCTGTGCTGGCAATCAAAATTATATGCCTAGGAAAGCCCAGGGGCAGTGTTGACCATGTTCTGGACACTGGGAGATGAGACTGTTTCAGACTCTGAATTGCAGCAGCACAAAAAGAGGAGGAAGACATGGCAAAAAAAACCCCTCATCCCCACATAATTCCCAGAGTCTGAAACACTGAGTGCTGGTATTTAAAAATGTATACCCACACACTTCTGTACACATACTGCTAACAAGGGAATAGATACTTTGGAAGGAGAGCAAAGAATAAAAATATTTATGCAATGTAAACAGTTTGAAATGTCACATCTCAATAAAACAGCATTTTGACATGTAAGCACGTACAGTTAATGCACCATATCCTCCATTCCCTATACATCATCCAAAGATCTGCGATGGGATTTTTATTTAAAAATCTAGAATGTTTCTTACGATAAGCTATTCAAAACTGAATCATTTGTAAAAGCAAGACAGGTCACGAATGCTAGACTAATATCTTGCCATCAGCAAAAGACGTATCAACAAAGCAGAAAAAAATAAAAAAGCATATTTAAATCATGCTCTGTACTATCATAAAATTAACTCCTCAGTGATACTTACTGCCCTGCTATAAACACTACAATTAAAACCCTGCACTGTCTTTTAAGTGTTGTATTTCACTGGATAAATACAAAATTTTATACAAGTATAAATACACATCTATTCAGCACTAAAAATTCACTTAACACTATAAAACCAATTCATTCTTCTCACAAGATGCAACAGGAGAATGAATCTCAAGAAAGGTGGAGAAGCAAACCTAATGGGTTAAGAGTCTTATTTCTGCCAACTTTAAAACCCTGACACTCCCCTTAGTTCATATTCAGGCCTACTACTTTACTGTACCCACTTCACCGTAATTTTCCCAACCTTTATTTCAGTTACATACTAGTTTAACATGCCACCTTTAGGAGATGTATGCACAGGGTGCAGCATCTGTCACCACACACAATGCCCCAAATTGGCACGCGTTGCCATTTGCTTGCTGTATCACCTAATATTCTGAAAGACAGCTAGCATGCTGGACATCAACATATTTACTTTACTAGTGAATGCAGTATTCAGCAAGCCCCAGTGCTAATTTTTGTTTTGTTTTGTTTTTTTAAAAAAAAAAAAAAAACAACTGGCAACAATTTAACAATCCCCTCTACTCCTATAATTAGTTTCCACAGGAATTAAATACAGCAAACTGTACTTACTCTGTTCTGTACCTGAGAAAAAGAAACACTGCATGAAGTTGGTTTCGGTAGTGATACCTGCATAGCAAAAAAACTTTAAAAAAAAAAAGAGCCGTCAAGATGCTTATTTTGTAGTTATAATTAGAACTTTGGAAAAATTGCCCAAGTATAGTTCCAGACATACACATGGAAGGCTCTAGGCCGAAATAATCACGGCATTCTCAAAAGGTTTATGTACAAGAAAACAGAGATGTTCTGATTAAATTCCAAATTGCAATTCTGAAGGTATCACGCACTATTAATTTAGTCTCTAATGGGCAATGAAGTTGCTGGGGTTTTTTTGGGCTGGGTTTTTTTTTTTTTTTGTTCCCCCCCCCCCCTCTTTTTTCTGTTCCACATTTTGCTTGCTGATTTTTATTCAAAAGAAACATGCGCAGAAATAACACATTTATACAAATAATCGCAACAGGGAAGACACTTCAGAATCATTACTGGTTTTTTCATATCATCTCATAAGTGCTCCAGAAAGGCCCATGTAGTAATGAAATCTTTACACCGATACAATCTGTTTTTTAAAAAACCTTCCAGCAACCTTGGAAAAAAATTTGGATGTGAAAATCTTAATTTCTCAAACTAAAAACTATGCATTTAAAATCACAGCACATGGAAAGGGTCACTGTCTACCTGGGCTAAGCTTGGAACACAAAGCTAATCAAATCAGAAAGAATTAGAGGGTCACACCTTAAAAGACACAGATTATTTTAAGAAATTATTTAGGAGCAGTTGCAGCCTTTTACTTTTCTCAGTTTACTTGCAAGAAATATATTTTTTTTAGGATATACTCTGTGACTAGACAGTGAAAACGTTTCCCTCCACCAATGAAACACCAGTGGCTTGCTTTCAAACCTCCTTGAATGCTCATGATTCAATTGCTGTTTGGGTACAGAATGGGCATCACCTCACTACACATTGCACTGAGGAAGAAAAGAGGCCAGAAATTCATTAACTGCTTAGATTTTTTTTTTTTTTTTGGGGGGGTGTGGTGGGGTAGGTACAGGGGGAGTGGAGGCAAGGAAGTTTTTAGCTTTTTTAGCTTCTACAGTCCTCTAAAGAACTTTATTTTGCCTTTGAAGGTGGGAGAGAAAGAAGGGACATCCTCTGCTGAAGGCAAAAACATGCTCAGCTTTCGGGTGTTTTAATACCAACCTTGAATATACTTTTACTAATGTAATCTGGCCTCTCTTCCCACCTCACTCACCAGCTTTCCCTGGAGAACACACAGGCATTAATGTAGTTCATTATGACTTGTGCCAAGAAATTAAGTGTGTACAAGCTACCTAAACTGTATAAAGGATTCTGAGACAGCTTCACCAAGATTTATAAGCAGGGTACACAGACGATTGCATACAATGACTCTAACTATGGAAGTCACTTTGGAAAAAAAGTGAAGACAAAGGAGACAGAAAGACATAACACGTGTCCCAAGGCAGTCTCCAGCGCTGCAGATGATTTCCCCCCATGAGAATTTCCCACAGTACATACATACTTTCCATCAGGACCGTTGAAGACTCCTCACTGGATACATGCAGACTGGTTGGCTGTTAAGCACTGTGGAAGCACATTATGGCATTCCCTAACAAATCCAAAACCTGTAACCCAGAGGAAAGCAAAGGGAAGAAGAGAACTGGCTCCTGCCAGTTGCTATTCAGGAGAATCCACCAAACTACTGGGATTCACAGCTGCAAGGTCAGAAGGACAACAGCGTGAGAACAAGGGGGAAATACTGCCCCAAAGGCTCTGCAACAGCCCCAAGGGCTGCTTGGGTGAAAGAAGACAGAGCTGCTGAAAGGCAGCCAGCAAAGGTGCACAAGGAGGGCACTTGGCAATACAAAAGGCTAAGGTACCCAGGGCACCGAAGTAACTATTACCTATAGCACCTTAAGTTTGTGTCAAATCTCAGTACCATTCACTGCTTAAAAACACTGTATAATAAAAGACTTCAATTTTCTGTTATAAGAAGCATGCAGGTAAAAAACCAACCAACCAACCAACCAAACAACACAACTATAGCAAGATAAACTACATAATTCAGAAAATGCCACCCAGCAGAAGTTTTCTGTTATACAGTCTTATTTCTCACATAGCGAAAGACACTTTTCTAACCATGTCTGAAGGACAGATCCAGAGTCAACTCTGATCCTTAGCAGAAAAAAATATACATGCTCTCTCTTCTTACTAAGTATACCTTAACCTCTGCTGGGAAAAATAATACACTTGAGTTCTGAAAAGCGGATGCAGAGGAATAAAAACCAGAAAGAAACGGCTACTGAAGAATTCAAGAGGTCTAGAAAACAAACTTAGATTCCTATCAATGAAAAATGTCCAGGAAGACATACGGGAAAAAAGGTAGATGGGTAAACGGGAATAAAACAGTATTTGAGTTAAAAAGCAAACCACCTCACTCTGTTATCTTAAGGCATATATTACTCCCTGAGTTACTCTAACAGGTTTCCAAAGGCACAGTTGGCCTGCCCCCAACTCTGCAACAATGATCGAGATCTACATGCCTAAAGCCCATTTATGATTTGAAGTACATTTACTGCATGTGAAGAAAGAAATATGGAAACTGCTAAGTAGTGACAACCACAATCTTGTCTACTGGCGACAGTGCAAGTGCAAAGCTAGTTATTTCACAAGGTATTTATCACACTTCTTGTCCTGAAGAAGAATAAGACATTCAAGAGCAACTAGGTTCACACTACCAGATGTTTGTTTAGAAAGTCTTATTATCGTTGTGTAGATATAAAACAGAATATTGTGGGACCCGGGATGACTGAACAGGCGAGGGAATGCATGCACCCGTGGTGTGTTCTGATCCAGGACACGCAGAGCAGCTCCCACCTCCCTACGTGTTGTTTTCCAGTTAACCAGTAGCCGTTTACTGTCGTGCCACAGTAACCACGGTTAAGCCTCACAGATGGAGCCGAACCCGACAAAATGCAAAGCGCTTTTTTCCACGCTGGAATTAACCCAGCGCAGGGAACATCTGTGCAAAGGGCTTATAAAACACACCCCACTAGGTAGGAACCCCTCTCCCAGCGATCAGCCTCCATCTTCCCCCCTCCGCCGGCAGCCCTGGCGGTGTCACCCCGGAGCAGGCAGGCAGCAAACCGCGAGGGGAACCGGTTGCTCTTCCCACGAAAAGCTTCTTGCCAGCTCTTGCCCCAGAGACACGGCGAAGCCACCTTCCCCGAACACACATACAAACACCCCCACCCTCCCCCGGGGCCCGGCCTCCCGTGGGACTGCCTGGGCCAGCAGCCACGGGAGACAGGCCCGAGAGGCGGTTACCGTCTCCCCTCGCCGAAGAAGCACCCCCGGGACCCTGCGCTCCCCTCATCACCTCGCCAGGGCGCTCGGAAGACGCCATAGCCACACGCCCTGCCGACTGCCGCCGCCGCCATTCCGGCCGCTTCCCCCGCTCCCGGCCACCGTACTTAGCCGCCCGGCGCATCCGCCTGAAGAGAAAGCGAAGGCACCTAACGAACGGCTCGGTGGCAAAAAAAAAAAAAAAAAAAAAAAACCGAGGCCGAAGCGGCGAAAACTAACGGCTGACACTCAGCTGAAGTTTTACCGAGACGCCCTGGCCCCTTCCAGCAGCGCCGTTAAGGGTCCGGCAGGCAAGCGGGAAAACAGCCCCGGCCACAGGGCCCCAACGGTCGCCGAGGCCCCGCCCGCCATTGGCGTGGGCTTGGCCGCCATCACGGAGAGGGGCTGAACGCTCGCAGCTCTGCTGCTCCCCTGAACTGCGGCGGTTTGAGCCCCAAATGCTCTTTAGGAGCTGCTCGAGACCTTCGACGTGAGCTTAGCGACAGGACCTGGCCGTTCTGCCCGCACCGTGTACCCCGTGGTGCAGTTCTTCTGGGGCGGGAGCCATCGCCTCCCTGCCTACCGCGGTGGCTGTGAGGCATTATGATAGCAAGAACGAAACGGCAGAGTGCGGGGCGATAAATTTTTGCTTTTTCAGAAACAGTTTTGGGGCCAGGGAAAATTTTCCTGAAAATCATCCACAGCTGCTTCCCCGCCCCACTTATTTTTCTCATTCCTGTCCAGCAAAGCTAGTGGATTTGTTGGTCAGACTGCCCTATTCTGCAATACTGATACGTGTGAACTAAGATTATTAGAAAATAGATATTTGTGGAATAGAATTATTAAGATCAATTTAAGATGCTTTAAACAATTGTGTGCTGCAGAACAAATACTGATCTTCTGAGGAACAGTTGGAATAACTGTAGGATAAGGCACTCATAAATAATCTTACTGGAGATGGTTTGGCCTTGTAGTGGCAGGTGCAAAGAAGCATAAAGAAGCTGCAAATTAGCAACAAAATCAGAGCAGGCCAGCCTTGAAGGTCAAGATGTACGTGACCCCAGGGCTGAGTTTGCGCAGCAGTAAGGGTCAGCTGGCCGACACAGCGAAGAAGACTACGAGCCTTCATCTGCAGACCCCCAACGACTCCAACAGGCATGTGCAAGAGACATTAACATATGCTAAATGAGTTCCCGGAAAAGTTATGAACATGATAAAAATGCAATGAATATGTATGATTAAGGTAGTATAAGTGCTTGTTGATTTTGTTCTCACACACACACACATGAGGAAGAGCTCTCCCCTGTGTGTCCGGCGCTGTAATAAAGGATGCCTGCTTTCTGAAACTCCAAAATTGAGTCTTGGAGAGTGAATGAATTACCACTTTAACAGTGCGTTACCATTCTTCCTGATGTTCTGGTTCCGGTATTAAAGACTAAAATAGTAACAAACAGCTTAACTTGCATTAGTGAGCAGAAGCACAAAACCTGCAGTGTGTTCACTACTTGTCGTACACTCAACATGCAACAGAATGATTGCTTTGTACCTTACAGAACAAAAATACACCGAAAAGCTGTAAAGAAAAATTTCCTGTAGTGTGCTGACAGACCAGCTGCTGGCAGAAAATTAATGCAAGACATAAATCTTTTAAACAAGATTTTTATCTTCTTTTCAGGCACTTTAAATATGGCCATTCTCACAGTTTAAGATACCGCATATTTCAGGACATAACCCTGACAGTGTCACTAATGAGAAAACCAATTAGTCTCATGAATTCCTGTAGGTGTGTTCACTGCAGTATTTATTTCCAGTTCTTTTGGAAGTAATTGTGTCACGTACAGAATTCAACTCTTGTTTCTTTGTGCACTGGGTGATGAAATACAAATGCCACTTTCTGTGTATCATGTACTGGAGAGAAGGAATTTGCCTTGTACAAATGTGTTACACAGAAAAAAAAATGCAGCCAGTGAAATTGCTGTTTAGCAATTGTACCTTGTCACACTGCTACAACTGGTTGGTGCCAGCAGTGGCGGTGAGTGTGTTTTGTCTTGTGTCAGTGGGAATTGCTTTATACACAAGCCAGTCTCTCAGAACACTGCACAGACTACAAAAGATGGAGAAAAAGTCATATGCAGAATTGAAAGCCAGTTCCTGGAGTTCACTACTGGTCATTCAGCTTCAAGATCCAACTCAAAGAGGAGAAACTTCCTCCTTCATGAGCATTATCACAATTATTTTCCTTCCACCCCCTCTAAGAATACGCTTACCTTTTAAGAAAAGACTTCCCAAAAGGCTGAATCATCTTGGAGCAAACCCCTCTGAGTCTGATTGTTAACTGATGGTTAAAACACCGTGGTGCAGCCACTGTTCTCCCTGGGGTGAGAAGCTCGGGTGGAAGAAGCGCCACTGGTGCTTTTAGTATCCCACTGCACTCCCGTGACACACGTATCTGGTCTGTCCAGCACTGGAATACTTCCAGCAAAGTGATGCTACCCGCTATTTCCTTGCCGTTTCAGGGTAGAGAAAAATCCCATCATAGCTGATAACTTACCAGAACTGAAAACAATTACAGTAAGCCTATTGTCTGGGCATGCTGTCATTTATATGTTGGAGAAAAACTTATTTGCTCCATTTTTTTCACCAGTAATAACTGTTTTGCTTGGCAGTAAAATAGATTTGAACCAGTAGGAGTCATTGATGTGTGAACAGTGCTGCCACTGGGAGGGACAGCAATGCGGGCTGATAATGGACCATTCAGAGGCAGGCTGCCTGCTCCAATGAAGTATGAATAGTGCACTCTAATGCCAGCAGACGAAAATTTCAGGGGAGATGCGATTTTGATTAGGGTTTTCCTATCTTTGAATAATAGCAAATTCTCAACCTAGCTCATTTGTTTCAGCAAGGCTGATCACGTTTAACAACCAATAACATAAAACGCTGTCTTTTTGCCTGGCTCATTGCCTGTAAATCTCTGTTGATTGAAGTTACCCCCCACTGTATGCTCTCCCATTGTAAAAGCAATGTCAACTAAATGCATTACACTGCTTTGGCTCCTCCTTGGTAGGAACTTCAGATATGCAAGAAACATCTCTGAAGAAGAGGAGCTATGAGACCTAGTGGAGTCAAAAGGACTTCACTCACTTTGGGTCAGGCTCAGGACGGAAGAGGCTGATGCCTTGAACAGTTTCTGTTAAACAACTTTCCAGAATAGCAGAACTGGCTTTTTGGCATCTGCACTCTGCTGTCCCAGGAAAAATCAGGTGTGGTGGAAACAGCTGTGTGCCAGGGAACAGCGAACTCCCCACCAGGTAGATAGTTTTTATACCCTTCTTACCTGCCTGGGCCGCTGGACAGTGAGGAACGAGGGAGCTGTCAGCCCAGCTGCCCGCTTTGATCCCAGGCCTTGGTGGCACGTGGAAGAAATCCCATGCCCAGCTTCCTTGCTAAGAGCCAAATCAGCCTGGCTCTGCAAACACAATAGCCGGTTGCCAGTGTTGCCTAGGGCAGGGTTGCCAGGAGAAAGCATGATAGATTCTCCATGGAAACCTGCGCTTTCAACGTTTGCTTTTGTATATGTGGGGGAATGAAGGAGCAGTGTCAAGGATCCTGTTTCAGGCAGGTGTTATTAAAGATGCCAGAGCAAGGGCATGAGGGCATACCTGCCAGATGGCTGCTGCCTCTTAGTACCAGAGTGTTTTTAGGTTTTCTGCCAAAATCTCGTGTTTCTCCTCAGCCAGTCAGGAGTAACTGTGGCACACCATCTCCCAGGTGGTCGCTCCTTTACTCTGCGCCAGCAAAATCAGCTAATCCCTTTGAAAATGCTACTCTTCTGCTCCTTCCTTCTTGCAGTTTGCATGATGTTTCATTTCCTCCTCTGCTGGGCCAGTCTGGGGAGGCTCCCCTGCTGTAAAACTCCAGTATCGCTATGGAAGTGTGTCTCTGGGACTGCGGGTCAGCTGCCAAGGAGAGTGGCAAAGACAATACAGCTGTTTGCTAATCTAGGGATGCTGCACATCTGAAACCAGACAGCTTTCAGTAATTTGAAATCTTCAATGGGTGTTTAATACACCTGCTCACTGATTTGTAGTCAGAACCATTTCTGCCCTGGTCAGTATTCTCTGTCCGCCTCTCTGCCTGCCCCCCACTTTTTTTAGTCCACGGGTCTCACACTTGGCTGATCACTTGTTTTCTTCAACAGTTCTGGGTGCTTGACTTTTCTTATTATTTGGGCATAAGCATCAGTTTTACGGAGGAGGCAACATGTGAATCCCCAGTGTCTACATTATCAGGGATATGCATGACTGAGTTATGGCAGCCGCAGTGATGCTGCATCTAACAACATTGCGTGATGTGGCACCACATGAAACCCTTGCTTCTCCCCAATGCAAAATGATACCAACATGCATATCTGGAGCAATGGCTGCTTGCTCTGCCTGGTTACTCTTCCACTTTTGATATGTAGGTGGTTGGCACAGGACTTGGCACTGCTGGTTGCGCTCAGGTTCAAGCAGGGAAATGAGCAGGTGAACTGGCCATTCATAACAGTTAATATGCAATTGCACAGCGGTATTGCTAACGAAGCCAAAAGAAAGGTCGTAAACAGACTTGCAGTTCTGAAGGTGCTTGGGTATTTCTGCCATTGTTGTTACGAGTCTTTCAGCAGTGACATTACTTGGTATTTAATTGTGTTGAGATGGCATCTGTGAGTCCCAAAAGCCACTGCCAGGCTCTTAGCAGAGCAATTTGAAAGCAGCATGTAGCTGATTGGAAAGGTTAATGTGACTACTGCCATAATTTCTTTAGTGTTGCTGAGGTACAGTGTTACAAGCTACATATCAATAACCTGCCACAGTGAAAACTGGAAATAGATTGAAGCTTTTCTGTGGCCAGCTCCATTAAAGTATACTAAATTCCAGGCAGGACAGCATATAATTTACATGCCTCTTGTAATAGATGGTTACTGCCAGGCACCTGGTTCGAAGGCTGTGCAATTGGAAAAGTAGTCAGTTATACAGAGCAATAAACATACGTGTAAAGCAGGGTCTGGCAGGCCCAGAAGGCTGCTCAAAGATACCTCTCAGCCAGGTTAATGTTCATCTGACAGTACTGCTGCATCTTTTAAAGAAATACACATTTCCACTGAGATCTAAGT